AGACAGAGATGTCAGGAAAAGAGATGGCTACCGGTACAGTGAACATTCCTCACCGCTGCTGAAGAGCTTTGGCAGACCTCTCAACATTTTGATAGTACTTTACCAGTTAAAAGATCTTGAAAGTAAATCAGGCTCCTATAACCCAGCACAAAAGATGAATGTCATCCTCCTGCATCTGAGCCTCCACACTTGTTACCAAGCCCACAGAAACCAGTCTGAAATGGCTTAAAGTCAACATGATGCCAGTCTCTTACACTGCCCCGATTTCACAGTGCTGCTGGCCATGGACAACCCCTCCATCCCACTGTCCTGCATCCTCAGCTGCCAAGAGCAGATTTTAGCAGCCAGACAAGTCCACATGCCTATGAGAAGCTGAGGTCAGTTTTGAGGGTATCGGCCCCACTTGAAAGGCACTGGTTTGTGATGGCCCAAGTCTTCTGCCCCCTACAAGGGGCTGAGCTAAGAATACACACACAGCTTACAGGCAGGCAATACAGCTCCTTTCCCTGTGTTTTAGGGGGATCCAGCCTCCCTCAAATGCATCATAAAGGCAGGAAAGCCACTCCCTCCTAGGATGCTGACCCTTGGGGCACCCACGTAGGTGCTACTTCTGCCTTCCAGCAGCAGGAAGGTGGCCTGTCACAGCACGGTGTCCAGGGCAGACAATGCAGCCGGGTGTGAACGTCCTGGCTGCCAGCTCTGCAAACCCACCCTCTCTCTGCACACAGCGACAGCATGGGGCCGGCAGAGCTGCCAGCTGGGCGGGGGGCTTCCAACAACAAAGACTGAAAAACCAAACTAGACTTCCACCTCCACAGTCAATATAAAACCCAACAAAAGGCCCATTTTCCAGCATCTCACTTCCCTCGTCCGAACCGCTCTTCCCCTTCCATCTTCTCCCCTCCTTCGTGAGCACACCTCTCCCATTCTCCCTTCCCGCTGGAAGATGACGACATTCTAATTGCAAGGGCCCCCTTGCCACGAGGCGGCTCGATACAGGACTTCAGGATGTGATTGTCTCCTGCCTTTGTGCAGGGTTAAGTGTGTGAGGAGGCAGGGCTTGCATAAACATACTGGAGCAGAAGCTGGAAAGGTCAAAACCACCCCCACCTCCAGCAATGGGCATGTGTTTGCCTGCAGCCGCTCTCGGCCAGCCCTGCGGCTACAATTAGCCCCCCCAGAGCACCAGCCCACTGCCAGGCTGGTGCTGCTCATGTAGGATTGCCTTGAACAGGTCTCCTTTTAAAGCCCTCGCTCCATCTTTTGAAAGAGAGCCTCCTCTCACAGAATAAGCTGGATTGAGAGAGCTCCAAGGGAAGGCAGCTGGTAGCTGACGGTCAGCGGAGCATCACAATTTAGAGTACGGCTCCCCAGACACTCCTGGCCATTCAGCACTTGGCCCCTTCAGAGAGGGCTCTTGCCCTCCCTCCTGCAGCCACTCCGTGATTCAGCAATGGACAGATGCCTCCATTTCAGATCGTGCATCCACCAGCTAAGAAAGGCTAGCGGTGAAGGCAAAGCTCAGGCTCTGGGAGCTCCAGGTGCAAACCCTGCTTGCTCACAGGCAAGCCCCTAGGTTCATCTTTGTCCTGTCCTCAGCTGGGCTAGACAGCACCCCAACACCTCAAAAAGCCACCCCCAGCTACAGCTAGCATCTGCATTTGGATACTCCAACAACACACGCTATGCAAGAGTTCCAGGCACTGTCCTCAGGTTTGTCACAGCTGTCCCCTGTAACCCTAAGTTGGCTGCAGAAAGGCGGTACTAGGCTTTAGAAGCTGCTCACAAAGCAAGTGTTGGCAGGTGCCACAGCCAGAATCTGGACCGAACTGTTTGCTACAGGCAGACGGGTGTTTACGAGGGTTCCTTCTGCACTGAGCTCAATCCCTCCCTCCTGTGCAGAGCCAGGGAAGCACTCAGTCCTGGCAGAAAGACGAGCCACCCCGGCTTGGGAGCAAAGCAGTGTACCAGCCCCTGGGCCAGCAGCCTGGCCACACTGGGAACTGCCTCTTTCCTGAGCCGGCACCCTATGGCACACAACACAGTCTGGCTGCCACAGCACCTCCAAAGGTGCCTCACTAGCAGCCAGAAGTGATCTCACTCAGCCAGAAGTGAGCTCAGTAACAATGCTTTGTTCTTGCAGACCATTTCCAGCCTTGGCCCCTTCACAGCCTGCCTCCCATGCCACCCTTCAGATCACTCCAGCACTATTTTCTGACTGGAATGGACTCTCAATCCAAATCTTGTTACCAGTCCCCAACCCAACCCCCAAAGCACAATGGACTGCCCCAGAGGGACCTCACAGAGCCCCTCAAAGGTACTATATTGAATTAATTAATGATTTTCACTCCCTACCTGTGACAGTCACCAGCATGGAGGCCACAAGCGGACGGTTGTTGTCCAGCTTACGGCTCAGCCTCAGCTCCCCGCTCGACTGATTTACAATCAACAAGTGTAGTTCATTTCCCCGCTCAAAGGTGTAGAAGAGGCGGTCAGACGCATCTGGGTCATATGCTGGGACCTTCCCTATGACCCCCGAGGGGAAGGTGTTGGACTTATTGGACACGTAGTTATTAAAAAGGATTTGGAAGTTCTTCAGAACAGGGCTGTTGTCATTCTGGTCAATGAGTTTGATGTGGACTGTAGCTCTGCTGACCAGAGGGGCAGAGGTGGCCTGCACTACAATCACATATTCAGATTTTGTCTCATAATCCAAGTCAATCAAGGCTGTGAGCTCCCCAGAAAAGATGTCCATCTGGAATATCTCAGGGATGTTGCCTTCCACAATTTGGTACATGATCTGGGCATTGGGTCCCTCATCCGGGTCAACAGCTGTGATCTGGGCCACCACAGAGCCTACGATGCTGTTCTCCTTAACCAAGACCTCAAACTCTTCAGCAGGAAAGACAGGGGCATTGTCATTCACATCCTGAATGGTAACCTGGATGTGGACAGGAGTTCGCTGAGGAGGGATGCCCCTGTCCACAGCGTAGGCAGTCAGTTCATAGACAGGAACGTTCTCGCGGTCCAGCCTGCGCACAGTGCGAATGATCCCCGAGGTGGGCTCAATGGTGAAGTCTCCATCCCCATCCTCCCCGTTCTGGAAGGTGTACTGCACTCGCCCGTTGGTGTGCGCATCCCGGTCAGTGGCAGAGATCTGGAGCACGCTGGTGAAGGGAGGTGCATCCTCAGAGATCATGCCCTGGTAATGAGGGCTGACGAACTGGGGGGCATTGTCATTAACGTCATTCACCATGATTTCAACATACGTGGTGTCCGCCTTCTGGGGGATCCCATTGTCCTTGGCAGTGATAGCCAACGTATACGTGACCTGGTCCTCATAGTCCAGTTCTGCCTGGAGAGTGATGGCCCCAGAGTCTGGATCAATACGAAACTGAGGGACATTGTCTTCCAGGTAGTAGGTGATGCGGGCATTTTCCCCCACGTCATCGTCCGTGGCACTGATCACCACCACAGTGCTGCCCACAGGCCGGTCCTCGTTGATGCTCGCAGAGTAGTGGGCACTCTGGAACACAGGCCGGTGCGTGTTGGCATCGGTGATGTTGATGTGAACGTGGCAGTTGTCACGCAGGGTGCGATCAGAGGCTGTCACGGTGAGCACATAGCGCCTCTCCTGCTTGTAGTCCAGTGGCAGAGACAGAGTGATGAGCCCCAGCCCACCCTGCGTGCTGATGGAGAAGCGGTTCCGTGTGTTGCCTCCTGTGATCTGGTACGTGATGGCACTGTTCACATCCCGGTCGACTGCCGTGACGCTGAGGACGCTGGTCCCTACAGCTGCATCCTCGTTCAGGCGGATGAAGTATTCCTTCTGGGTGAACTCAGGGCGGTTGTCGTTGACATCCATGACAGTAATGGTGACACTGGCTGAGGCGGATAAAGATGGAGAGCCATGGTCACGCGCCTCTACCCCAAAAAAATAGTGCTCGACCGATTCCCGGTCCAAGGGCCCACTGACTGTGATCCACCCCGTGGCACTGTTCACCACAAAGGGTGTGTCAGCCGAGACCCCCGTCAGTTTGTACTCCAGGCGCGAATTCTCGCCGTAGTCTGCATCCACGGCCTGGATGTGGATGACGGAGTGGCCAAGAGGAGCATTCTCCAGGACGGAGATTTGAAAAGGGGTACTGACAAAAATGGGGGCATGGTCATTGATGTCCACCACCTGGATGCTCGCCATGCCAGTGTTGTTAGAAAGAGGAGGACGCCCCGCATCCTGAGCCCGGATCCTCAGGGCGTACTCCCGCTCCACCTCAAAATCCAGAGGGGCCACCACCTGTATTTCCCCAGTGACACTGTCAATGGAGAACTGGCCCCGACTGTTCCCACTGATGATGTTGTAGTGCACCAGCGCGTTGTTATCCTTGTCCAGGTCCGTGGCGGTGACACGCAGGATCTCGGTGTGGGGCCGGATGTCCTCCCTCACTTGGACAATGTAGCGCTTCTCACTGAACTGAGGGATGTTGTCATTCTCATCAAGGACTGTGATGTAGACCTTGACAGTGGCAGAGCGGGGCCCCGGCTCCCTGCCCTGGTCGTTGGCTTCCACCACCAGGGAGTACTTCTCCATCTTCTCCCTGTCCACTGGCCCGCTGGTGGTGATGAGGCCAGAGCGGGGATCAATCTCAAAGACGTCGTAGGCAGCCCGTTCATTGACAAAGCGGTAGCGGATGTTGGCATTGGGCAGGGAGTCGACATCGGTGGCCCGCAGCTGCAGAATGGGGTATCCCTCCTCAACGTTCTCCCGGATGGTCTCCCGGTACTCGCCCTGCTCGAAGACGGGGTCGTGGTCGTTGCGGTCAGCCACAGTGATGGCCACCATGGTGGTGGCGGAGAGCCGCGGTGCCCCGTGGTCAGTGGCCGTCACTCGGAAGTAGTGCAGGTCCATGCTCTCGCGGTCCAGGGCCTGGGTGGTGGAGATGAGCCCGGCCCGCGGGTCGATGCTGAACAGATCCCGCGAGCGGCTGTTCATCAGCGCATCCATGGAGTACACCAGCCGCCCCGCCTCGCCCCCGTCGGGGTCCTGGGCCACCACCGCCACCACCGCCGTCCCCGCCGGCTGGTTCTCCGCCACCTCCGCCTGGTAGTTGTACTGGGGGAACAGCGGGTGGCGGTTCGGGACTGCGCGCCGGCCCCGCCGCCCCGGGACCGAGGGCAGCGGCGGCGGCTGGGCGGCGCGGGGCGGGCAGCGCGGCGGGGACCGGCGGCGCGGTGCCGGGGGCAGCCCCGGGGGCACGGCCGCAGCCCGGCACGGCGCGGCGGCGGGACAGCCCCAGCGGGCCGGCGGCCCCCAGCCTGCCGGCGGCGGCGGCGCGGTGGCCCCCAGCCCGGAGGGGAACAAAGGCAGCAGCAGGAGCGGTAGCAGCACCAGCAGTAGCGGCGGCGGCGGCGGCGGCTCCCGGTGGCGGCGGCAGCAGGAGCGGCTCGGGGCGGCCACCGGCTCCTCCGCCGCCGCCATGGTGCCTCGGCGGCCGCCCCCCGGCCCGGGCGCACGGAGGTGGGCTCGGCGCTGCCCCCGCTCGCGCCGGCGATGGCCGCCCCCTGCCCCGCCGCCGCCGCCGCTGCTGCTGCTGCCGGGGGTGGTGGCGGCTCCTCCCGCAGCCCCAACATGGCTCCCGCCGCCCCGCCCCGCCGCGCCCTCCCCGCCCTGCGCCGCCATCTTGAGCCCGGGCGAGCGGGCTGTGGCGAGCGCTCCGTGCCGCGGTGAGCCGGGCGCTCTGCGGAGCTCCCGTCCCCGGGCCGGCCGCACCGGGCACTGCCGGCTGCTCACTGCCGGCCCCGGAGCGGGCTGTGACCCCGCGGGCTCAGCGCTGCCGGCCAGGTGTTTGCGAGGAGCTGCACCGGCCGGCCCGGGGTGAGGGGCTCCCGGAGCCTCCCTGCCAAAACCGCAGAGCCCGCGGATAGCGGGCACACACCGAGCACCTGCCGAGCGCACCGGCCGCTCCTGCTGCACTGCCGGTGCTCCAGGCGCCACAGCCGTCCCGTGCCACCGCCAGCGTCCCCTGGGCCAGGCTGTGCCCCCCTGCCCGAGGAGAGCCCGAGACAGCTGCCCTGCCGCCGACACAAAGGGCAAGGCAGGAAAGTGCCTTGGTTAGGTAGGAGGCACTGCCATGCCTTGGCAGCCCCACGGGCCCCTTCCTCCCCCATGGCCATCTGGAAGCAGCAGCACCTTGAGCATTTTATTGTGTAAATGACGATGGGCTTCCCTGTGTCCCGCTCTTGCAGGCGGTGCGAGTGGTGTCACGGCCCCTGCCACCCGGCTCCCCACCCATACCCAAGTGTGTGGCACAAATTTAGCTATCCCACTCTGCTTCCTGGACACAGACTCCACAAGGTGTGGCATCATCACCAGAGGGAAAGTTGCAGATATTGCTTCCTGCGCCCCTGAAAATAAAAAAAACACCATCAACCCTGCTTTTTTTCCAAGAAAAATTCAGTTTGAGCCCCTTGCATTATGGTGATTCATTAATGTATCAGCCTCATAATTTAGTTGTTGGTTTGATTCAATCAACTAATGTCCTAATCCACTGAAGCTCATCACAGGCTTAGGAATAACAGGGTTTAGGTCCTCATTAGTGTTTTGCATGCCATGGTAGAGGGACATCCTTGGCCATGTCCTGATGAAGGAGAGGGCACACTGGGGCAAATGCTAGGGAAGAAAGAACTGTGTCAGGGAGGAAAATAGAGCAAATCTGGGAGATGGGTGGAGTTTAGGATGGGGTAGGAAAGGGCAGGGCACACATGGGATGACATCCTGTGCCTCCATGCACATCCCAGCTCAAAAGGGGCTGCAAGAGCCTGCTGTGTTGGATGGACTGTTGTTCAGGGTGTTGTAGGCTGAAGAGCAGGAGGGCCCCCATATCCACACCTCAGCCAGGCTAGATATCGCTGGCAGCCCTTGTATAGCCCTGCATAGCTTCTAAAACAAACACAAATTACCAGTGGGATGGCTTCATGCTGGAGGCGGCATTGCACTGCTCAGCTGTCACTCCCAACACTGTAAGAGCCACACTCACTCTCCAACACATTCCCACCCCCCAGGAAACAACACAGGGCTGTGCAGGGTCTCACTGTCCCCTTGCAGAAATCTGAGTGGTTGCTTGGGAGCTACACACTGCTTTGGACAGCACAGCATGTGCATGTGCACAGCAAAGAGGGGTCACAGGAGATGTGTTGGCCCCATGACACAGCAGGTCTCGGGACCTCAAGGCAGTCCAGCTGCCACTGTCCTGGTGGTGTCCTCTGTTCCAGCTATGGCTGGGGCCATGGCATCCCACATGCTGCTGCCACAGCACTGAATCCTGCTATCACCAGTGCTTTGCTTCTCTGCTCCATGTTCCTGTACTCCCCCATTAGCCATGGCCACTACCAGCTCTCACCCAGCTTTGGTTCCACCAATGGTGACAGATGGTCCCCTGGCAATTATTGTTAGTGTAAACGAGGGGGTGGGAAGAGCACATGCTGCCCACTGATCAGGGGTTTGACAGCAAGCAGGTCCTCATTCCTAGGGTGGAAACCAAGAAAATACAACATGGGGTCTGCAGCACAACCCGTATGTCCCCAAACCACTGGCTCACCTCATGCAGGGCTGGTAATTCCCTCCCACTATCATCACCCATGCAGAAGCCAAGGCCTGGCCACCACTGGGGAAGCGACAGGGTGGGCAGAGCAGGCAGGGCTTGTCCTTGCCCTGTTGCTTGTGCTGAGCATGTGTTGTAGGACCATGACGGGAAATACCAGGCAGGCCTTAAAGTGGCGGCCAGTGCAGCCGAGCATGCGGCAGAGAGAAGTTCCCCTGGAGCTTACACAATGCTCAGGGCTGACACCCAGTGAGTGTGGATGTCTAAGCCCCTGGAGAAGCCAACATGTTACTTTATGAACTCCATAGGATGGGTCACCTGCTGTGATTAACTCCTCAACCACCACCTAACACCTCTGCTTTGGGTGGTCCAGCACCAGCACTGACAGGGCTGTGGCCATACTGTGCTCTTGGGAGATTTACGTTCTTCCCTACAGACCCTTCAGCATCCACTTAAGCCCTCCCAGTGCTGTTAGGATAATGCCAGAGCAGCCCTGGCCCTGCACACAGCTCACCCAAGAAACCTCATTTAACATCACTCAGATGCAACAGGAAAACACTGGCTGGATCATACATCACACCTCCTCACACTGGGGATGTGCCATCAGGAAACCAAATCAGGAGAGAGGCAATACTTTTTAAAAGTAATGAAGGCTTTCAAGTTTATTTGTTCTAATTACCCAGCTGACAGCTCAGGGGAGGAGGAGAAAATTATCAGGGTATTACTGCCACAAAATAGTTGTAATTGAATCATTCCAGACAATAAAGCAGAAGCACAGGTCACAGGCAATGTATGTATCACTCCCACCACGCCAGCCCCCCAATACCCCTCACTGTTGCACCACAATAAAACAGCAGTACGAGGAAACACTGCTCTAATTGTGTCTTAGTACAGCAAACAATCTTGAGGGTCTCACCTACATGAAGAGCAGGACCTGCTGAGCAGGCTGGGGACAGTGAGTTTACATGCTGCAGTTTGATTCCCTGTGATGTGGGAAAGCCTTTCCTGGCCAGCAGGTGTATTTCTCCCCCTGGACCCTACAGCCAGCTTCCCCCTCAGCTCTCCCAGCCCTTGGCTGTGGTGGCAGCAGGGTGGTGGGACAGAAGGTGCTATGCTACTGTGCAGCTGGGATAGGGTGAGCAACCCCATGCACAGCAATGGCTCGGGAATGCCAATGGGAGACACAAGCTCTGCAGTCTGGGCTCCTGGCAAGCAGAGCCACAGGTCCTGGCACTACTGGGTTTGCCTAGCACGTCAAAGCCTGTGCTGTGTCACTGAGGGCAAGTACCAGATGAACATCTCACCACAGCAGCAGGTCATGGGCCAGCAAGCCCCAGCAGCACTCGGAAGCAAGCCGAGGTTGGCTCAGGGGCACATGCAATCATGTGCTGCACAGAGTAGTGGGGTACAGGAGAGCCAGCATGGGGGACACACCAATGAGCACCGGCAGTCCTTACTTGTCACGATTGACCCCAGGTGTACAAATTGCACACTACAAGGCCACACACCTAGGGACTTTGGAGACACAGGCCAAAGACGCAGGAGCTGGGACAATCCTGGCCCCAATTCTGCAGATAGCTCTGTTTGATGCCATCCCTCTGTTTGGAGTGGCACAGCTTGCACCTGGCATTTACACCGCTGCCCTGACAGTGGCCTGGCTGGTTCCCTTGTCACAGAGCCACGAGCAGAGACCAGCTTCCTGCTGCTAGTGCTCTGCTCAGTGCCTGCTGTCCTCCCACCGCAGAACCCCTGCCATCCCAGGCACCCCAGAGCTGCAGGCACAGGCTGAGGTTTGGGAGCACACATCTGCAGCCAAAGCACAATTCATTACACTCAGTACAGACTTTCATTAAACCCTTCCTTGCCCAGGCTCGCTGCCTTGGCAGCTCTGCTGGGAGCCAGCCGAGGCTGCATGTACCTTACGGGAAGTGAACTGTGAGTCCAGCTCTGCCAAACCCTTCACGTGGGGCAGCAATGCTGGGCAGGCCCCAGCGATGACAGCTGTGCCCCTTGCAAGGGCTGCTGTCCTCCAAGCCTTCCTTGTCAGCCAGCAACGTGGTAGAAAAAGACAAGGCAAGAAGCTGAATGAGGGAAATTGACTGCATTACCCCCATTTGGAGATCAGCACCCACTGCTTTGCCTCTGTGAGCAGCATGCACCCTACCACCCCCGATGCTTTGGTGTCCCCATGACAGGATTGGGCAGGCAGGGCTACACTCACAGAAGTCCAGTTTAAGACATTTTTATTCTTCTGCAGGTTACACTTAGTTTAAGAAAATACAGGATCCCTTTTGACATTCATACATTTTTACAGGGCAAAAATAGGTTTCTCTGCTAGGATGGTTATTAAGCTCAGGCATTCCCAGGCTGACTTCCTTTCCCCCTTTGGCTGCCAGGCCAACCCCCTCTGTTCTCAAAGCATCACTGCCTCAGTAGCCAGTCCAGGCCTACAGAGCTTGTGTGATCTCAAGCTAACAAAAAAAAAAAAAAATTTAAAGTAAATACAGTGCCCAGTATTTCCAGTTTCACAGCTCCTACACTGGCTACTGCAAAAGAAGACCTGGGGACAGGGAGTGACCACATTGTGCACACAAATACCAAAGAGACCCATGTTAGTGTGTGTGACTATCTGGAAGCAGGTTAATCCCGTTTGCTAGAAACCTAGAGGAAATAAAAATAAGGGTTCCCCACAATTAGCATAGTCACAAACAGCTACTGGACACCAGGCTCACGCTGCCTCTGAGTGCTGCCATGGGGACAGGGAAGGCAGCGAGGCAGAGCTACTATGAAGCTCAAGGCAAGAAATGCACGTGCTTCACGAACAGAGCGCACCTGCCCAAGGGCAGCCCCTCTGCTCGAGGCAATGCTGCAAGAGAGGTGGCAAGTGGCAGCTTCACCTGGCAGGACACATCTTTGTGCTGTGTCTGGCCAAGGGCTTCCTAAGGGCAGTGTCACCCACTGGCTCTTACTTCTAGGCTGCCACAGTGTGCAAGAAATTGAGATTTAAACATCACTATAGAAAGCAGATTGAAAAGCAGCTGCTGGGGTAAGACCTCCATGACCCAAGGTGGGCTGCTGCCCAGAGGCAAAGCTGAAGGCTAGGAGGGAGTGAAAGGCTCACTAGACGAGGCATTAGACAGCGAGCAGCTACTTTTCCTTGGCAGGGCTGCAGCACATTGGCACTAGCAGCAGGAAACAAAACAGATGTTACAAAAGCTTCTTCCAAGCACCAGCGGACTCCACTTGGTCACTGCAGGGAGAGAGACGCACATGGAAAA